GCAGAAATGTCAACCAAGTGTAGTTTGCTCCTTGAGTGTATCCTAGATCCAAACTATATATACACACATATATACACACACACACATATGCATACTGTAATGTAGTAATTTACTTAGTGTGGCTTTTCTAGCCATAAGTCTTTGTAAACTCTAGTGGAATTTGCTGTGAGCAACTGAGGAGCTCCTGATTGTAAAAATTATCCACCTGGGGTATTTCTGTTGGGCGTAACACAAAGCAATCTTCTGGGAGGTTTCTGCTCTCTCTCAGGTGCTTAGAATTCTGATGTTATGATTGGTTAGTTTGGCCACTCTGCCAGGCTCAAAAGGAGGCCTCCTAGAGGCAGAAGTAGTCTCTCTCTGACTGCTGCTTGAGGAAGATGTGCTGCTGAAAGAGACACGCACTCCTGAAAGAGACACGCGCTGCTGGGAAAGAGATGCAAGAGACATACATTGCTGAGTGAGACACCGAGGGACACGCACTGTTGGTAGAGAGACTGTGAGAGACTGTTAGGAGAGAAACTGTGGGCTGGGAGAGAGACTGAGCATTTTTCCTGAACTTGATTACAGCCTGGTGCTTTCGTAATAAACCCCGTAATCTGTGAGTTCTGTGCGGCCACTGCAGTGAATTATCGAACCCAAGAGAGAAGTGGTGAATGCTTTGGGAGGAACAGTTGGTGAAAGGGCTGGAGGCAGGCAGCATGTCTGGCCTTGCAGGAATAGGCCTTGGGTTACTGATAGTGCTTTTGTCTTCCTCTTGTGGGGTTAGAGGAGGTCAGGAGATTTGGCCTCCTTGCCTTTTTTGCACATACATATGTGTGTGTGTGTGTGTGTGTGTGTATACATGCATGGGAGTTCTGGTAGCATAGTGCCTAAGGCACTTGACTGCTAACCAGAAGGCTGGCGGTTCAAACCCACCAGCCCCTCCTCAGAAGGAAGATGGGGCAATCTACTTCCATAGTGATACTGCCTTGGAAACCCAAGGAGGGGGTCACTATGAGTCAGGTCTGACTCGACGGTACATAACAACAACAACATACACACACACACACACACACATTTGCTGTACTTGGTTGCTGCTGAGTCAATTCTGACTCATGGCAATTCGGTGTGTGGAAAGCAGAACTGCTCCACAGGGTTATCACGTCTGTGACATGATTGGAAGCAATCACTAGGCCTGTCTTCTAAGGTGCTTCTGGGCAGGTTCAAATTGGCTATCTTTTGGCTAGCAGTCAAATAGTTACACCACCAAAGGATTGTATCTCTCTATCTATCTGTGTATATGTATATGTATATGTAAGTATGTACACATGTGTGTATGTCTCCACCACCTATCATACTGTAACGGCCTGTAGTATGTTGCTCCGATGCTGAAATCTATGCCACCAATATTTCAAATACCAGCAGGGTCATCCATGGTGGACAGCTTTCAGTGGTGCTTCTAGACTAAGACAGAGTAGGAAGGACCACCTGGCTATCTACAGCTAAAAAAGTTGGCCAGTGAAAACCTTATGAATAGCAGGAGAACACTGTCTTAATATAGTGCCAGAAGATGAGTGCCTCAGGTAGGGAGGCGTATCAAATATAATTGGAGAAGAGCTGCCTCCTCAAAGTAGAGTCGACCTTAATGATGTAGATGAAGTATAGCTTTTGAGACCTTCATTTGCTGATGGGGCATGACTCAAAATGAGAACAGCTGCAAATACCCATTAATACTAGAAACAAGGAAAGTATAGAGTATGAATCAAGGAAAACTGCAAGTTGTTAACAATGAAATGGAACACTTCAAAATCAATATTCTGAGCATTAATGAGCTGAAATACACTAGTATTGGCCATTTTGAATCAGACAATTGTATGATCTACTATGCTGGGAATGACAAATGGAAGAGGAAAGACTTTCATGCTTAAAGAAAATTTCAAGATTTATCCTAAAATACAACACCATGAATAGTAGGATAACATTCATATACCTACAAGGAGGACTAATTAATATAATGATTTATTCAAATTTATGCACCAATCACTAATGCCAAAGAAGAAACTGAAGATTTTTACACCAATGTCTGTAGTCTGAAATTGATCAAATATACAATCAAGACATATTGATAATTACTGGTGACTGGAATGTGAAAGTTGGAGAAAGAACAAAGACAGGCAGTTGGGAAATATGGTCCTGGTGACAAAAATAACACAGGACAGAATTTCGCAAGACCCACAATTTATTCACTGCAAGTATCTCTTTTCAACAACATAAAAGGCAACTCTACACATAGATCTTGCTGGATGGAACACACACAATCAAATAGACTATATCTGTGGAAAGAGATGATGGAGAAAATCATTATCAGTCAGATCAAGGCCAGGGACTAACTGGGCAACAGACCATCAATGCTCATATATAAGTTGAAGTTGAAACTGAAGGAAATTAAAACAAGTCCACAAGAGCTAAAGTACAAGTTTAAGTAATACAAAAAAAAACAAGCACATTGCCAGGTCAATTCCGACTCCTAAGTTTAATATTTGTTGTTGTTGTTAGAGACCCCTCCTTGGGTTTCTGAGGCAGTATCACTATGGAAGTAGATTGCCCAACCTTCCTTCTTAGGAGTGGCTGGTGGGTTTGAACTGCCAGCCTTCTGGTTAGCCTTAGGCACTACGCTACCAGAGCTCCTAAGTTTAAGTATATCCCACATGAATTTAGAGACTATCTCAAGAATAGATTTGTCACATTTTCACTAAAGACTAAAAACCAGATGAGTTGTAAGGTGACATCAAGAATATTATACATGAAGGAAGAAAAAAAAATCATAAAAAAGACAGGAAAGAAAGAAAAGACCAAAATGGATGTCAGAAGAGACTCTGGAACCTACTCTAGAACACAAAGCATCTAAAGCAAATGGAAGAAAGGATGAAATAAAAAGCAAAACAGATTTCAGAGGGCAGCACAAGAAGAAAAGTAAAGTATTATAATGAAATGTGCAAAGACCCAGAGTTAGAAAATCAAAGGAGGAAAACATGCTCACCATTTCTCAAGCTAAAGGAACTAAAGAAAAAAAAAATCAAGCCTTGAGTTGCAATACTGAAGAATTTTATGGGCAAAGTATTGAATGATGCAAGAAGCATCAAAAATGGAAGAAATACATAGAGTCACTGTACTAAAAGAATTGGTCAATGTCTAACCATTTCAGGAGGTAGCATATGATCAAGAACTGCTGGTACTGAAGGAAGAAGTCCAAGCTGCACTTAAGGCATAGGTGAAAAACAAGGCTCCAGGAACTGATGGAATACCAATTTAAATGTTTCAACAAGCAGATGCAACACAGGAAGAACTCACTTGTCTATGCCAAGAAATCTGGAAGACAGCTAGCTGGCCAACTAACAGGAGAGAGCCATATTTGTGCCCATTTCAAAGAAAGGTGATCCAACGGAATATGGAAATTATCAAACAACATCATTAATAGCACATGCAAATAAAATTTTGCTGAAAGTAATTCAAAAACGGTGACAGCAGTACATATAGATAGGGAACTGTCAGAAACTCAAGTCAGATTCAGAAGAAGACATGGAATGAGGGATATCACTGCTGATGTCAGATGGATCTTGGCTAAAAGCAGAGGATACCAGAAAGATGTTTACTTGTGTGTTTTATTGACTATGCAAAGGCATTTGACTGTGTGGATCACAACAAATTAGGGGTAACATTGAGAAAAATGAGAATTTCAGAACAAACAATTTAGCTCATGTGGAACTTGTACACAGACAAAAGATAGGTGTTCAAACACAACAAGAGGATATTGCATACTTTAAAATCAGGAATGGTGTGCATCAGAGTTGTATCCTTTCACCATATTTATTCAATCTGTATGCTGAGCACATAAACTGAGAAACTGGACTATATGAAGAAGAAAGCAGCATCAAGACTGATGGGAGACCCATTAACAACTTGAGATATGCAGATAACTGCAATACGCAAATAACATAGCCTCACTTGCTGAAAGTGAAGAAGACTTGAAGCACTTACTGACAAAGATCAAAGTTTACAGTATAGGTTACAACTCAACATAAAGAAAACAAAATTCGGTAACTAAACCAAAAAGCAACATCATGATAAATGGAGAAAGATTGAGCATGTCAAGGATTTTATTTTACTGGGATTTCCAATCAGCGCCCACAGAAGTAGTAGTCAAGAAATCAAACAATGTATTACATTGGGTAAATCTGCCGCAAAAGACCTATTTGAAGTATGAAAGAGAAAAGATGTCACTTTGAAAACTAAAGTGTACCTGGATCCAAGTCAAGGTATTTAGAATTGCCCGCATAGGCATATGAAAGCTGGACAGTGAATAAGGAAGACTGCAGAAGAACTGATGCCTCTGAATTTTGCTGTTGGTGAAGAACACTGAATGGACTGCCAGAAAAACAAACAAATCTGTCTTGGAAGTGGTACAGCCAGGATGCTCCTCAGAAGTGAGAATGGTTAGACTGCGTCACTCATACTTTGGTCATGTTATCAGGGAGGACCAGTGCCTGGAGAAAGATACCATGCTTGGTAAAGGAGAGGGTTCACAAAAAAGAGAAAGACCCTCAATAAGACAGATTGACAGTGGCTGCAACAGTGGGCCCGAGCATAGCCACGACTGTGAGGATGGCACAGGACAAGGTAGTGTTTCATTCTATTGCATATAGAGTCACTATGAATCAGACCAACTCATGGGCACATACCAAAGACAACAGGTATTACTCTTTGGAGATACATGCTCAATTATTTAGGGGTGAGGCAAGTTAAGTGCAACTTACACTGAAACAGTTCAGAAGTGCTCACTAGTATTGAACCTAGGAAAAGGGTATATAGATATTGACTGTAATATTCTTTCAACTTTTCTATAGTTTTGAAGTTTTTCAATGTATGAAGCTGAGGGAATGAAAGATTAACTGCATCTAAAATAGAATCAATTTACTGTATCCTTTTAACTTGACATCATTCTGTAAAATTCTAATCCTGACAGATCATGAAATTTTTTATAGTGGCATTTGCAAATGCAGGTCCCTTTATCTATACCTCGTTTCCCAAGTGATGATCCAGCAAACAAACAGCCAGTCGATGTCTCAGCAATAATGCTATATGGAGAAACAAAAAATGTATTACTACCTATGCTATCAATGTATTCTAAAAATGACAGGCAACCATGAAACAGGAGAACTGAAAACGAAACTCTTGCTGTAGAGTCAACTCTGACTCACAGTGACCCTATAGGACAGAGTAGAACTGCCCGAAGGTTTCCACGGCTGTATTCTTTATGGGAGCAGATTGCCACATCTTTCTCACATGGAGTGGCTGGTGGATTCAAACTGCCGGCCTTTTCGATTAGCAGCCGAGCACTTAACCACTGTGCCACCAGGGCTTCTTCAAACAGAATAGGGACTGTTAAATAAGCAGAATTACATCTAGCTGAAACCAAAATCAAACTCACTGTCATCAAGTCAATTCCTACTCATAGTAAGCCCCACCAGGTTTCCAAGGTTGTAAATTTTTATGGAAGCAGACTGCCTCATCTTCCGTGGAGCACCTGGTGGGTTTGAACCACCGACTGTTTGGTTAGCAGTCAAATGTCTTAACCATCACACCACTAGATCTGGCTATTATGTAGCAAAAGTAAAATTTTTCATACAGAGAATGGTATGATTAACATTCTCCATCAGCCTTAATCGCAGCATGTGTACTTCAGCACTTCTGACAGGGAGGAATCATGCTAAATTCTAATCCACTCACAGGTAAGAATGGGCCCCTAGGAGTTATCATGTTATCAGCACTAAGTGGCATTATTACACAGGCAGACTGTACTAAAAAGACCTTAAATTATAACACTGTTTATGTAGAGACTTTTGGTTTTACAATAGTTTTTAGATATTATCTAAATAGTTTTTAGATACTATCATATGTAGAACAAAGATTTGCTTTAAAAAATAGATACTCTAAATGTGAAGCATTAAATTTTACATATCTACAAAGGATACTTTAAAAAAAATCAATGTTAAGAATTTCTATAACCCTAAGATGATCATTAACTTCTAACTGAATGAACAGTTACAATCTCTTTTCAAAATAGATCTTTGCCATATTTAATATTTGTGAATTGATTTCACTTTGAGGTACACAAAAGCTGCTGAGATAGTTCCTTTACGATCAGCTTCAAAGTCTTCTGATTAGCTTAAATACATCATATTTTTATTTTAGGCAGAATGCCATTTAAAAACATCTTCTTAAAACTATAAATCTTTAAAACAAAATAATATCAATCTTTTAATTTAAGTCAAATAATTATTTCAGAGTTCTCAACCAGTGTCTAGGAAAAAGGAGTATATGATCTCACATTATTCCATTTCCATTGCCAAAGGCCTGGTCCTTAGATTCCTGTACAGGCTGGATGTTAACATACAGATCCCTGATTTCCTTTCTGATGCACCTCACTGCTGCTGCCACCATATCCTTTGCTACCTATTTTGGCAAAATAGAAAACAGTAAAATAAGTTAATAATTGATTATTTTGACAATTATTTTCAAAGATGTATAAAATAACAACATTTATATACATTATTTAAGAACTTGAATTTCAAGAGAGTACATTGATTTTCAAGAAAATTTTATGAAAAGATTAAAAAAATAAGTTCTTTCAATAGTTTTAAAATATAGATGACATAATGCTTATCAAGACATTTATATACTTCTAAAAACATCTAGACAACTTACTTTAAATGGCAAAACACCAGCAACAAAAGATCTTCCATATATCTTAGTCACAGAGCCACGGTCAGTTAAATTTATTGGGTTCAATTGTTTAATTGGATTCATTCGAATAATCACTTCACCACCCCCTTTTGGGTAGTAGCCCCTATGAAAAATATGATAAATATTCACATAAACTGATTGTATGGCAAAAAGTTCAATATTTACAAAAATAATGACATACAAATGTTATCCAAATGTACAATATTTTAGAACTGTGCTATGCAATATGGCAGCCTAAAGCTACATATGACTATTTAAATTTAATTAAAAATAAATTTAAAGTTCACACTTTTAAATTGCACATTTTAAGAGCTGAACAGCCACAAGTGACCACCAGTACTGGAGAGTACAGATACAGAACGTATTTTCATCTCAAAACATTCTATTTGACAGTGCTGTTTTATAATACACATTTCATGAATTCACATTTCATGTTGTATGTTTTGTTCCCTGCTACATTCTCAGGGTCTAAAAAAAATGTCTGGCACAGAGTAGGTGCTCAATAAACACTTGATGAATATTTAAGTAACAGAACATAAATAAACTTTTAATTATTTAGTATTATTTATTCTACAGATGTTGGGAACACAAAGATGAGTTTCACAGTGCTCCTATCTCCACTCTGCTCACCATCTACTACAGAGATGGCTCTACATGCGTTCTCCTAGAACACAAGTCAGGCTGTAGGGAGGACAACAACACAGGCACAAATATGACTGTATGCTTCTGACTGAAGCAAACCCATGGATAGTTCACACAAGTAATTAGATTTTCATTTTGCAAATACATAGAAGGATTTACAATTTTTAGAAGAACATTCAGAAATAACATGAACAAAGACCTGAAAGTCTGAGGCATGAAATAAGTTAAGGAATAGAAAGCAATCATGTTGTCAGAATATATGGTATGTTGAAAGGAGGGGAAGAAGAATGAAGCTAGAAAGGTAAACAGGGGCAAGATTGCAAAGCACTTAAATGCCATGCCAAGATGTGGCTTTGTTATTATGTGACAGAAAAGAAAGCTTAAAGAGAAATAATCTGAATGTCTGATGTGTTTGTAGGGGAAATAATTTTGATAGCATTCTGGAAGAGTAGAAGAAAGGCAGACTTCTTCCCTTTTATCACCTCCCAGTGCCTAGACCAGTTACCTGCACACAGTGAGCATTCCTCTGTGCTAAAGCCACCATTATACCTGATACAAAGGAGCCTCAGTGTGGAAATTCCCTTGAAAAATATTTCTCCCAAGAAACAAATGAATAACATGTCTAGCTGTTTTCAAGTCCCCATGCCCCTACTGTTTGTTTTTAAACTACCAAGTATAATTATTTCATACCAGAAATGTAATGTATAAAGTGAGTTCTAGAATGACAGTTTTCTGACGTCTAAGAGACTTTCAATACAAGTAATGGACCAAAAGGGGTGACACATAAGCAACTTACCGCATTTTAATGTCACAATTAAATGTGAAACCAAATTTTTCAACAATTGGCTTGAAAACCTGAAAAATCAGTTTATAGTTCTTTTAGCCATCAATGGTCAACAATAAATATATTTATATAACAAATGTAGTTATTAAACAAAAGTACTCTGCACTGAGCTAGGCATTAGGTACTATAGATAAACAGTAACATAAAAAATGTCTAAGCTAATTCCATTCTTCAAATAACTGATATGCAGCTAAAATCAAAAGCATAAAATCTAATTACTTAGGGCTATACAAGTCCATCAAACAAAAATAAATAAATAATAGTAAGTTCACTGCCATTAAATTGATTCAGACTCATAGCAACCCCCACTGGATTTCCAAGGCTATAAATCTTTACAGAAGCAGACTACCTCATCTTTCTTCTGCAAAGCATCTGGTGGGTTTGAACCACCAATCTTTTGGTTAGCAGCCAAATGCCTTAACCAGTATATCACAAGAGTTCTTTCTAATTATATATGTAATAGAACTCATGATAACCTCTGTGGTTATTTTACTCCAGAGCTCAGTATTTCCTACCTTTTTCAATATAACACTCTAAGAAATTAGTAGAAGTTAGTGAAAGCATTCTTGTCTATTCAATTTTTCTTAAATAGCTGAAATCTTACTATACAGTTTTATCCTTATTTTTTCCATTTAACACAATAAACATAAGCATTTTCTCAACATCATAAAATTCTCCCTAAATAATAATTGAAGTACTATATGACATTCTATCATAATTTACTTAATTACTGCCCAAGTTTTCATTATTATAATGTTCTGTTGAAATACTTTTGGCATTTAACTTCTGCTGTATTTTGTAATAATGGAAGTATAAGGTAAAGAGAGAACAATTTTGAGTCTCATTATACATTTTGTTAAACTAATTTTAATGAGATTATATCACCTATTAGAATGGCAAAAAATTAAAACATAAAAAACAAAAATCTTAGTATATCAAGTGCTAAGTTCCTAGCCACTAGGAACTCTCATACACTGCTAGTAAAAATGCAAAATAATACAGACACTTCGGAAAATAGTTTGGTAGTTTCTCATAAAGTTAGACATATACTCATTGTAACAGCCCAGGAATACTACTCCTAGGTATTTGTTTACCAAAGGGAAATGAAAACTTATGTTCACCCAAAAACTTGTACATAAATGTTACCGTGACTTTATTCATATCTGTCCAAAATGGAAAACAACCCAAATGTTATTCAACAGATGAATGGATAAACACACTGGTACAAACATGCAACAGAACATTATTTAGCAATAAAAATAATGAACATGCCATGTGGATAGATCTCAAATGCATCATGATAAGTGAGAGGAACCAAACTCAAAAGGCTGTATTTCTCCATTTATACGGCATTCTGGGAAAAAAAAAGGCAAACAATGACAGAAAACAGATCAGGGGTTGCTATGGGCTTGGGGATTGACTATGTGGGAGTATGAGGAAATATTTTGGAGTAATGGAACTGCACTGTAATGACAATAGTGGTTTCAGGACTGTAAGTGTTTGTTAAAACTCATTAAACTTTATATTAAAAAGGCTAATCTAGCTCATGACCACAGTCTTAGGGGACACCATGCTCAATTGGCCAACACAGTACATAAAAATCTTGTTCTACATTTCACTTTGGTGAGTAGTGACTGAGGTCTTAAAAGCTTTTGAGCGGCCATCTAAGATGCAACCACTAGTCTCCTCTCATCTAGAGCAAAGAGTGAAGAAAATCAAAGTCATCTGGAAACAATTAGTCCAAAGATAAGACAGACAAGGACCTCAGCCATCATGACCCCACGACCAGAACTAGATGGTGCCCAGCTACCAATGCCAACTACTCAGAAAGGGAACAAATCTGGAGATCCTGGATAGAGTGGGAGGAAAAATGTGGCACAAAATTCAAAAACACAAAAACGGCCAGAATTACTGGTCAGACAGAGAATGGTGGAACCCCCAAGACTATGGCCCTGGGTTACCAAAAACAAAACAAAACAAACAAATAAATAAAAAGGGCCAAGCTTACTGTAAATAATTACACTTCAATAAACCTGGAGAAAAAGGATTATACTACTTTTCTCTTCTATTACTTGCATACCGGTATTGAGTTTTACTGGTTTTAAAATTCATAACCAAAACATAGCATCTAATTCTTGTTTTGAGGATTTTTTTCCCCTACAAATCTTCATTCTAATTTATATGATAACTACAATGAAGATTTTTAACACTGTTCTAAGATAAAATACAAAACCTAAAGTAAATATAATCGCCACCCTCTACACTACAACAGAACCAGACACACACACACACACACAAAAAAGACATGCACACAAAAATTGACAATATATTTAAGTAGAGAATGGAGGTGCAGAAAAATACAGAAGAGAATATTCGTTGGTCAAAAAGAAAAAAAAAAATCCATACCATCACTGTGTAATCAATCTGTGGTGCCATTTCAGCATTAGTTCCACCTTTCAAACGAAGCTCTGATGGAGAAGCAGCAAAAAGAACACAGGGCATTGAGACCTGCATCAAGAGGCACACACTCCTAAGAAGAAGGCAAAATAAGTTTAGTGCATTTTCAAGTCAGGTTTCAGGTTAATAAAGAAAGCTGTATTATTACGTATCACCACCAACTGACACATAGAAAACTAACAAAGCAGGTTCATGTCTTTAAGATTAATCACATTTCAGTACCTAAATGATAAAATCCTGAATCTTAAAGAAATGCAGTATGGCCCAGTATAAAGAAACAACTGTAAATAATAAGCAAACCTGGGTTTGAACCCTAGCCTAAACACTTCTTAGATGTATAACTTTCAATAGGTTCTGGCACTTTCTTCATATTACAGAGAAGAGAAAAATAAATTAAGATCACACTTTCTTCACAGTGTTTTTTTTTTTTTCCTAAGTCATGTGAGAAATGATTTTTTTATTATTATTTTAAATTTTTATTGTGATTTGGGTGCAATTTTACAAAGCAGGTTCATTATACATTCAACAGTTCACATACATTTTGTTTGGTGACACTTATTACAATCCCAGTGTAACAGCTCTCCTACCTCCTCTCTGTGGTTATCCCTTCCTGTGTCCTTATCTATGCATTCCTGCCTCCCTAGCTTTCTCCCTGTGCAAATGCTACCGGTTGTGCAAATGGTTGACCGTTCTAAGCAGGGCATCTCCCTGGTGTAGTTTTTCAGCTCAGAGGCCTATTGTTTGGCTAAGAGTTAAGCCACGGGAATGAGTCCGATTCCAGGCCTAAAAGGTGACTCAGGCCCACAGTCTCAGGGGTTTTATCAGTCTCCATCTGACTAATAATCCTGGTCTTTTTTCTGTTTTTTAATTTTGTTCCACATTTTTTTCTCCTACTCTATCTAAAAAACAAACCCATTGCCATTGAGTCAATTCCAATTCACAGAAACCCCCACTGGGTTTCCAAGGCGGTAAATCTTTATGAAAGTAGATTGCCCAGTCTTCTTCCACAGAGTGGCTGGTGGGTTTGGACCATCAACCTTCTGGTTAGCAGTCGAATGCCTTAGGCCAGGTACCACTAGTTCTTCTGGCCTCAGGGTCATGTAGGCTGAGATTCCTGTGGTCCAGTGGTCTCTTGGACTAATTGTTTCCATATGTCTTTGATTTTCTTCATCCTTCTTTGCTCCAGACCAAGAGAGACCAATAGTTGTACCTCGGCTGCTCACAAGCTTCTAAGACTCCAGTTGCTATTCACCAAAGTAGGATGTAGAACATTATTTCTGTATACCATGGTGTGCCAATTGACCTTGATGTCACCTGCAACTACTGTTGAAAGCCAAACAGGCCCTTTGCTAAAAACTACAGAGCTTTAATAAACTAGCAGCCATGATTAAAGCAGACATCGATTATAATGAATAACTTACTATATTTTTGTTCCTTCTCCTTCCTTGTAAGTAAAAAGAATAGCTCACCTTTTCATGGATGCTGATTTCTTTAGATTGTTTTTTTGCTCATACATCCTTTTGAGTATGACCTTATAACCAAAGCCAGTTTCAGCCAAGGACCACAGTTTATGAAGCAAGACAATCCTGGGAAGAGGGATGCCAAGTCTGAAGAAACCATGGTAAAGAGGAACAAAGACATTCCTGGCAGTTTAAGAGGTCCTCCACTCCCTACCCATTTCCCTATACAATCATGGTTACCCCTTTTTTCGGGGAGACAGACTTTCTAGAGAAGCGATTATGTCTCTCTGGGTATCAATACTCAAAAAGTATCAATGTTGAAGTGCTCTTCCAGTTCAACCTGTTGTGGTGATTGGCTCTACTCAGGACAGGTGGTAAGAGCCTCACTGTTCCTGTAGCACCACAGTCCTAAAGCCACAGGCCCAGTGACTTACTCCCTTAAGGTGCTTGATTGTGACTAATAAGTTTTCCTAACTTTGTTCTCTGGTAGTGCTATAATGTATATGCACATTTTTACAGCACATACAAATAAATATGTGAGAATATTATCTTCCAACCCTATGCATTAAAACATCTTGATGGTCAAGAGTATTTTCTCATTAACCTACCCATACCTGATCTTCTTGCCTGTCTACCTATATTTCCACCCATAGATTAGTGTTTGTTATTACTGACACTGGATTGTCTTCAGTGTTTTTATAAAAGGCATCTTGAAAGTAGCAGTTAATAAAATGTATTCAAAAGAGCCAAGGTCTACAAACATTCAACTGAGTATAGCTGAGTCTCTATCATATACATGGCCCTATCCTAGATATCAAGGAGCTCTGGTAGCGTAGTGCCTAAGGCATTTGACTACTAATCAGAAGGATGGCAGTTCAAACCCGCTAGCCACTCCTCGGAAGGAAGGTTGGGCAATCTACTTCCGTAGTGACACTGCCTTAGAAACCCAAAGAAGGGTCTCTATGAGTCAGATATGACTCTACAGCAGTGGGTTTGGTTTTGGTTTTTTATCCTAGATATCAAGCTAATAAGATATAGTCCTATCATCATGGAGTGCATGGTAAGATAAAACACAACATATTACATAAGATTTTATAAGAATTGGTACCTGAACATATCACATGAAAGAAAGGCTTGCATAACTAGCCTGTTTGGTTCTTATGATCAAAGAATTTGAAGTATCATGAGAAAGAGTTAAGAATGTGAAGTATCTTTAAAAAAATTATTTGGTCAGATGTTCTAACCTGCTGTTATTATCTCCCCTTCTCCAAAGTCAAGGGAAAGTAGTAATATTCACAAATACATTATAGTGTGAAAGGCAGTTTGACATCAGCCCTACATACTAAAAGATGGACCTTTCTGTAACTTTTTTGTGACTGTGACAATGATACATATGAATTGAATTGGAAAGTCTCTATCACTGATAAAAAACCTCATTAATCCAGCAAGCATTTACGGACTATACAGTGTGTTAGGCATGCAAAGAGAATAATGTATGAGATATAAGCCCTCTCCTCAAGGGGGTTGGTATAGGAATAGATGAAACAGATCTGGAAATGTTCTATTTACTACAAACCATAGGTTTTAGCTACTGTACTTCTCAATGTTTATTGCCCCTAGAAAGCTTAACATTCAAAAGATTCCTTTAAATGATTCTAAAGTATTGATTAAAGTAAGGATTTTCCCCTCAATAAAGGTAGATTCTAAGAACAGTACAGAAAAATCTTAATTTTAGGGGAGTAAAGAATTGCAAAGATAAAGGAGTCTCACTTGTTTTAATCACCTGAATAGAGATGGATTACCAGCTTTTAACTCATTTCCCATATACTCTAACAGATCAAGAGCCAGGAGGCTAGAATCTAATTCTGACTCTCACACTATGACTGGGTAGAGCACTTAATTTCACAGGAGCTTAATTTCCTTGTCTCAATGTGGAAGCAGAGTTGGAATATATGATTTCTATTTTCCCTTTTGCAGCTCCAAAATTAATGCTTTAATTAATTTCTAGACATTTCACATGAAAGAAAGGCTTGCGTAACTAGTCTGTTTGGTTCATATGGTCAAAGGATTTGAAGTATCATGAGAAAGAGTTAAGAATGTGAAGTATCTTTAAAAAAATTACTTAGTCTGATGTTCTAACCTACTGTTATCCCCCCTTCTCCAAAGTCAAGGGAAAGTAGTAATATTCATAAATACTTTATAGTGTGAAAGGCAGTTTGACATCAGCCCTACATACTAAAAGATGGACCTTTCTGTAACTCTTTTTCCCTTTTTGCTCTAAGTAATATCCTGACTATAAAGATATCTCAAAATTCTTTAATTCCTGTAGGAAAGGTCTCCCTTGGCCTAGCAGCAAATCCCATTTCATAGACGTATATTTACATCACAATGCATACATCAATTATTACTCAACATTTTCTTAATTAAAAAAATCCTAATCCATTAACTCAGTCATTTCTCAAAGAAAATGACACCCAACTTGCAGTACCATTTCTTATTTTGTCAAATTTCCTAGTAAATGGAAGGATTTTGAAAAGAATACTATATAAAAGAGCAACCAGTCAAATGCCACAGTAAAGCAATACAAAATTTTGTCAATAGAAGAAGGGATACTTGAAAATGATACAGGTCCAATTTCACTGTTAAGTATCATTTCCCAATGGGAAAAAAATCATGATCATACTAAAAATTTCTAAATAGGGTAGCATAAACCAAAAAATCTTGCTGCTGTCAAGTTAATTCCAACTCTTAGCAATCCCACAAGACAGAGCAGAACTGCCCCATAGGGTTTCAAAGGCTGGAAAGCAGACTTGCCGCATCTTTCTCTCGAGGACTGTTGTTGTTGTTGTTGTTATGTGCCGTCGAGTCGGACCTGACTCATAGCGACCCCTCCTTGGGTTTCCCAGGCAGTTTCACTATGGAAGTAGATTGCCCCATCTTCCTTCCTAGGAGTGGCTGGGGGGTTTGAACCGCCAGCTTTCTGGTTAGCAGTCAAGTGCCTTAGGCACTATGCTACCAGAGCTCCTGAGGTGTAGCTAGTGGGTTCAAACCGCTGACCTTTCAGTTACCAGCTGGGCATTTAATCATTGAACCACCACAGCTCCTTAGGGTTGCATAAATACCTATTAAAAAACAGCAAAAATAAGTACACTAACACTAGTAGAATACAGGTGGTAATCAGTAATGAGCCAAGAACTAAATTTGCTACTATGTAAAAATTGCTGATCAAATCTCTTTAAGGAGCCCTGCCAGAAGCCATTTTGTTTTTCAGCACTCTTTATAAGGATATCGTACACGAACTGCCGCTAGCCAGCACCTGCAGTTGCCGCAGTTCTATTTACTTCTTCAGGATGTTTCTTCCCCTGGCCAAAAATGCACTAAGTCATCTTCAAGTTCGTAGCATTCAGCAAACAATGGCAAGGCAGAGCCACCAGAAACATGCACCTGATTTTCGTGACAAATACGGTAATGCTGTATTAGCTAATGGAGCTGCTTTCTGTGTTGCTGTATGGACATATACAGTAATACAAATTGTAATAGAATGGAACCTGTCCCCTGTTGGCAGAGTCACTGCAAAGGAATGGAGAGATGAGTAATCAAACCAGCTGGTGGTATAACATTGAATTGTTTCAAAACCAACTTACAACTGATGCCAAGTAGAAGCACCGTGTACCCATTAAAAAATGGCATTATTGAAGAACTAAAGTCCATTTGAAACTTTTATTGTAGATTTTCTTTGTTTCCTATGTAAATGAAACCAAGCTTCATCACCATTTGTTTAAACTTTGTGTTAACATTAAAGTCAAAATGCTATATACAACCTCTTAAATAGCCTTTCTCTGTAAAGTAATGTTGAAGAAGAATTAGGCTATCACATGAGAATCAACTTTACATTTAGCTGAAACTAGAATTCATGAATAACTTATCATCTTTGAGCTAAAAAGTTAGTGTCCGATGTTGCTTATACCCATTATTTTCTGCCTCTCATTTATGTTTATTATTAAGTCCTTTTCACTCCTGCCTAGAGAACTTAGGGTATCATCAGACCCAATGGAAAAGTGCTCCTATAAAATGAACTAGGATGTCTGAAGACTAGCTAGCTCTTTGGCTCCCTTAGCACATTTATTTAGTTTTAGATATATGGTGTTTGTTAGAGAAGTTCAAAATGTTTTAAATAAAAAGAAAATTAAAAAAAAAATGCTATAACTACAGCATATGAAAACTTAGTTTCAGATATTCAATTTTTAAATAATAAAAATCAATATGCCATGTAACAGGAGCTCTGGTAGCGTAGTGCCTAAAACACTTGACTGCTAACCAGAGGCTGAGGGTTCAAATCCACCAGCCACTCCTTGGAAGGAAGACGGGGCAATCTACTTCCGTAGTGATGCTGCCTCGGCAACCCAAGGAAGGGTCGCTATGAGTCGGGTCTGACTTGACGGCACAAAACAACAACAGCAACAACAACATGCCATATAAAATATTTCTACACATAGGAGAAAATAATTCATTATAATAATTAACAAGTACTTAGGTCCTCAAATAGGAATTCTGATGGTATAGTGATTAAGGCACTTGGCTATTAACCAGAAGGTCAGTGATTTGAACCCATCAACTGCTACAAGGAAGAAGGATGAGGCAGTCTGTTTCTGTTAAGATTTATGGCCTCAGAAACCCAGTGGGGTGGCCATGAGTCAGAATCAACTTGATGGCAATGAATTTGGTTCTGTAGGTCCCCAAAGCTTTACATACACTGTCTCCAAATCTGAAAGTAAGCATTTAAAAAGAGTGGAAAATGAGACACAAGTAAGTGGCAGAATCTGGGTATGAACCCAGGTCTACCTCCACATGGCATACTTAAAAGGAATGTGACACATACCCTGCTGTCTTGGTATCTGCTGTGTGGGTTCCACCTTTGATCTTCTCCGGTGTGAAGGTTATTTCTGTTGAGCCAATTTCTGCCCCCTCCAGTTGCCCATCACACAAATCTCGAATCATTTCCAGTCCAGATAAATGTTGAGGCCTTCAGGTCATAATACTGCATCAAAACGTGTGCATTAAGACTGCCTATATCCCCATACTTTATGACACATTTATAAAACTGCAACGGCAAGAAAACAGCAATGTCTAACCAACCACACTAAGGGCCCCATCTTAAGTTTCAGAGCTGCTCTTTGTGTTTTTCTGCACTTAGACTACCAGCTAGCAGGCATCATTTTAAGGATCCCTTTGAGACCGTTATTTTGGCTATAAATGTATATACTGATGTAGTGTTACAAATTAGAAGTGGGTAAAAAGCAAAAACTAATAAACCTATCTAAAAGTCACCAACCAGTCTCACCTGCACTTCACCAAATAATCTATGGTACCTAAAATAGCCTTAATGAATTGTATTCTCCGACTGGTGGGATGGATCATTAATATTTACTTACACATATCAGTAAGTGCTTTTTGTGAATTAATAAAAAAAAAAAAGACTAAGGGTACCTGATCTACTAAAATGCAATGTGCAGATGGAATAAGAAGGAATCAGACTGGCTTCAACCCAGGTCCTCTTCTAATAAGTGCATATACCTATAGTTTATTTTACGACACATCCAGCTTCCCAGAGAGAAATAAAACGAAGGGCAAGTGTCAAGATTTTTCCCTCTCCGCAAGAGATAATTCGGATCTTATTCACAGCTAACTAGAGGTCTAAATGTAAAAAGGAATTATACATCTTAACGTTCTTTCCTGTTCTATGATTGAAAAATGAGCGACCGCAGAGGATGCACTAGTTAGAAAATAGATTTTTCCTCTGGCCACGCAAATAGGTCGGTGCTGATCTATCTTCCTCGCTGATTCATGCTCTTCGGGTACGTGGAACGCACGATGAGGTGGAGAAACATATTAAAAGGTAATTCTTTAGGAAACGAGACAATTTGAACCAAGTAAGGAAAGCTCGGGCTTATCTTAACTCACCCCTAAAGCTTTCAAAGTAGCACAACTCAGGCCACGGCAAAGAGTCTAGGTAGAACGTTCGGGGGCTACGGAAAGCGGCTCTAGGGACAACGCCGGCAGCCGAGCACCCTTCAGCTCCAGGCCGACTCCCCCGTTTTCCCAGTCCCGCGGCCCGGCCTGCCGTCCCTAGCCTCAATCCTCCACTTCCGGGGGCCCGGCCGCCCAATTTACCTCAAGCCAGGAGTGCTGCGGCCAGCTCGGATCTTCTGCACCCGCAAGGGGAGGCCCAAAAGACAGCTCAGGGCCGTGGAGACCCTCAGGATCTGGCCGCCCTACAAAGGGTAGGGGTGCGAAAGAATAAGGGCATCAGATGTCAGAGCTCACTCCGCCAACATGGGCTGAAGCCGCAAGCCCTTTTGATTCGAGCCCCGCACTCACCCCTTCCATGATCCCGCCGTCGACCTCGACCCTCTGCCCCGCCATGAAGGGCACCTGGGGGGTCTGACCCGCTACGACAAAGCCCCCACCGAAACGGAAGGAAGAAGAGACGCTGGCTGCCACGCAGCAGCTCTGCAGTCACAGTCCTCACACGAGGCCGCAGGAGCCTTGCGGAAAGGCGAAGTAAGGGGTCGCCAAGGTGGAAGTCGAATTGGCAAAAAGAAGCCGAAACTCCGCGCCTTGAACTGCAGTTTATAATGCCTGGCGTCCGGTGCACATGCGCCCTGAGCGGCGCGGCATTCCGCGGCTTAAAGAGCCAACGCTGCGAAAATTCCGGCCTGCCCTGGGGTCCAGAGACCGGGGAGTTTAGGTTGCCCAGGTAAGTACAATAGAAAATGTGGCCCAGGGCAAAATCCATAGGCTGCAGAAAGTCCTTTTTCTTCTCTAACTGGATACTTCAGTTATCCTGCATGACTGTGCAAATATCTCTGTTATCTGTGCTTTTTGGAGATAAACAGTACTCAGAGCTGGAGACTCTTAGAGGTGAAGATTAAGAAAGGTCCAGATTCGCAAGGTTGTGGTGAGTTCCTGGACACACCCAGCTACCCTGAGGGAACAAGTAGTTGGACCTGTCGGCTCAGGCCCATGGCCCATGATTGTGGGGGACATCAAGCTCAACTGGCATAATACACTACACAAAAACATTGATCTACATCCTATTTTGGTGAGTAGTGACTGTGATCTCAAAAGCTTGTAAGCAGCTATCTAGGTGCAACAATGGGTCTCTCCCCATCCACAAAAAAGAACAATGAAGAAAAGCCAAAGATGCATGGAAGCAATTGAGCCAAGAGACTAATAGACCATGTGAACCTCAGCCTATATGACCATGAGACCAGAAGAACTAGATGGTGCCCAGCTACCACTGTCAACCACTCAGAGCGGTATTGGTGCAGGAGATCCTGGATAAAGTGGGAGAACAATGTGGAACAAAACTCAAAATCATAAAAGAAAAAAAAAGCCTGGTGAGACCCCTGAGAATATGGCCTCTGGTTACCCAGAAGGTCTGGACCTGAACTCACTCCTGTGGCTTCCAGCCAAACAATAGGCATATGAGGTGAACATTGACATCAGGTAGATACACTCCTTGGAGTGATCAATCATGGGAGAACAGAAGGGCAGTGTTTGCATAGGGAGATAGGTCAGGTGGTGGGGGCAGGAATGCATAGGAAAGAAGGACACAAGCAAGAGGTAGCTATGGAGGGAAATGAGAAGAGAGCCGTTACATTGCAGGGAATTGCAGTCAATATCATGAAACAAAATGTGTATGAACTATTATATGGAAAATGAATTTGCTCTGTAAACTTTCACCCAAATCACAATAAAGATTAAAAAAAAAAAAAAAAACATGCATTCACAATAAAAACAAAATCAGACAAAACTAGAAATAAATGTAAATTCACTTACCCTGATCTTGAAAAAATCTACAACAAACTTCCTTCTTAATAGTAAAACATTACTAGTTTTCCTTTAAAAATGTAACAAGACAAAAATGTCCACTCTGATGGCTTCTTTTCAAGAGAATGATGAAAGTCCTAGCCAGAGTCTTAAAAAAGATAAATAAAAGATATACAGGAAAAACAACATTGCCAATAACCAAAATCAAACCAAACACAATGCCCTCGAGTCAGATCTGATTCATAACGATCCTTCCTTGGGTTTCTGAGGTGGAATCACAACGGAAGTAGACTGCCCAACCTTCCTTCTGAGGAGTGGCTGGTGGGTTTGAACCACCAGCCTTCTGGTTAGCAGTCAAGTGCCTTAGGTGCTACACTACCAGAGCTCCCAACATTGCCAATGTTGTTGTTGTTGTTGTTATGTGCCATCGAGTCGGCCCCGACTCATAGCGAACCCTCCTTGGGTTTCCGAGGCAGTATCACTACGGAAGTAGGATTGCCCAACCTTCCTTCCGAGGAGTGGCTGGTGGGTTTGAACCGCCAGCCCTCTGGTTAGCAGTCAAGTGCTTTAGCCACTATGCTACCAGAGCTCCTTGCCAATAGGTACAGATAATATGACCACCAAATAGAAAACCACAAAGGATCTTTAGACACATTATTTAAAATATAAGTTCAATAAAGTTCCAATCAGATTCCTAACAGAACATTTTTCAAGGAGATTGATTGTTTAACATTTACACCAAAGAACAAGAGGGCATGAATAGCCTTAAAAAATGAGGTGGAGGGTGCTTGCCTTATTAAATCTAGAGATTTTTATAACACTGAAAAAGAATTAAGGTAGTGTGGCATTGGCATGATGATAGATAAATAGACTAACAGAAAAAAAAGGAGAGCCTTGAAACAGATTTCTATGGCAGGTGAGTGACAGATCAATAGGAGAAGAGGAATTCTACAATTTCTGGTGCTAGAATGATGGGTTAACCATAAAAAAAAAAAAAAAAAAGAAATTGGATTTCTATCTCACAACCTACAGAAAAATCATTTCAAGATGGTTTAAAAACTGTTTCATACTATGAGGTAAAGGGAGTCCCTGGGTGGTCCAAAGTGTTAAGAAGCTCATCCACTGACCAAAACATTTCAGTCCACTCAGAGGTGCTTCAAAAGAAAGGCCTAGTGATCTACTTCCAAAAACTAATTAGTGAAAAACCTATGGAGCACAGTTCAACTCTGGCACACATAGGGTTGCCATGAGTCAGAATCAACTCAAAGGCATATGGTAGGGTAAAGAATTTAGCTTTTCCCAAAGAATTTGGACTATGTCCATGATTCCTGAGATACAGCTTTGAAAACCTTGGAAATTCCCCTAGTGGTTGAAGTTTCTTTGAGGAGGGCTTCAAATTACCCTTGACCTAATGTTGCTGTTCTTAGGTGTTATTGAGTCAGTTCCAACTCATAGCAGCTCCCTGTACAACAGAGTGAAACACTGCCCAGTCTTGCTATGCTTGCTATGTTTGAGCCTACTGTTGCAGCCACTGTGTCAATCCATCCCGTGAGAGTCTTCCCCTTTTGCACCGACCCTCTGCTTTACCAAACATGATATCCTTCTCCAGGGAGTTGTCCTTTCTGACAAGACCAAAGTATGTGAGATGAAATCTGGCCATTCTGGCTCCTAAAGAGCATTCCAGCTGTACTTCCTCCAAGACGCATTTCTTTGTTCTTCTAGCAGTCTATGGTACATTCACTATTCTTCACCAACACAACAATGCAAATGCATCAATTCTTCTGCATTCTTTCTTATTCAATTTCCAGCTCTCACATGCATATAAGATAATTGAAAATGCCATGCTTTGGGTCAGGCACATCTTAGTCTTCAAATGGCATCATTGCTCTTTAATACTTTAAAGAGGTCTTTTGCAGCAGATTTGTCCAGTGCAATACAATGTCTGGTTTCTTGACTGCTGCTTCCAAGGGTGTTATTTGTGGTTCCAAGTAAAATGAAATCTTTGATAACTTCAATCTTTTCTCTATTTATCCTTATGGTACTTATTGGTCCAGTTGTGAGGATTTTCCTTTTCTTTATGTTGAGGTGTAACCCATACTGAAGACTGCAGTCTTTGATCATCTTCAACAAGTGTTTCAAGTCTTCCTCAGTTTCAGCAAGAAAGACTGTGTCATATTCATATCAAAGTCTGTTAATAAGTTCTCTTCAACCTGATGATGGCAGGATCCAGGTAAATGGAGGGAGACAGGCCCCACCCAAGAGGCAGGAATGGGGGAAAGATGGGGAAAACAAAGTGGCAGGATACAGGTTAGGGATGGGCAGAGAGATTTCAAACAGCTAAGGGAGATGAACTTGTCTATCAGTTTGCATGTTGCTGTGAGGCTTGAGGCTGTGCCACCAGAGTTTCAAACATAAGCAGAGTTGCACATGGTGCGTGGGTTTCAACACAGCTTACAGACTGTGATAGACTAGGAAAAAGAAAGAGGCCATCCACTTCTCAAAGAATTGGCCAGGGAAAACCTTATGAAAAGCAGAGAAACACTGTCTGATACATTATTAGGCAACTTTATGAATAGCCCAGAAACATTGTCTGATACAGTTCAGGAAGATGAGCCCCTTAAATCAGAAGGCACTCAAAATATGACTGGGAAAGAGCTGCCTCATCAAAATAGAACCAACCTTAACAATATGGATAAAGTAACACTTTTAGGACCTCCATTTGCTGACATGGCATGACTCGAATGGAGGAGAAACAGTTGCAAACATCCATTAATAGTTGGAACATGGAATGTAAGAAGTATGAATCTAGGAAAATTGGAAGTTGTCAAAAAGGAAATATAATGCATAAAGATTGATATCCTAGGCATTAGTGAGCTGAAATGGACCAGTTTTGGTCATTTTGAATCAGATAACCATATGATCTACTATGCTGGGAATAACAATTTGAAGAGGAATGGTGTGGCATTCATCATCTCAAAGGATGTTTCAAGATCTGTCCTGAAGTACAATGCTGTTAGTGATAGGATAATATCCATATGCCTACAAAGAAGACCAGTTAACACGATTATTATTCAAATTTACATACCAACCACCAAAGCCAAAGATGAGGAAACTGAAGATTTTTATCAACTTCTGTGGTCTGAAATTGACTGAACATGTAATCAAGATGTGTTAATTATCACTGGTGCCTAGAATGCAAAAGTTGGAAACAAAGAAGAATTGCCAGTAGTTGGAAAATTTGGCCTTGGTGACAGAAAAAACACTGGAGATCGCATGATAGAATTTTGCAAGACCAACAACTTATTCATTGCAAATACCTTTTTTCAACAACACAAACAGCAGCTATACATGCGGACTTCACCAGATGGAGTACACAGGAATCAGATTGACTACATCTGTAGCAAAAGGTGATGGAAAAGCTCAGTGTCTTTAGCCAAAACAAGGCCAGGAGCTGACTATGGAACAGACCATCAACTGCTAATATGCAAGCTCAACTTGAAGTTGAAGACAATTAAAACAAGTCCATGAGAGCCAAAATATGACCTTGAATATATCCCACCTGAATTTAGAGACCATCCAAAGAATAGATT